TTGGACAGTTTATTGAGAAGCATGTGGCTGTGCGTTGACGTGAACAAAATTGTGCCATCCCTATTCAAATGTCTAGGATGTTTGCTTTTTTCAATTTTTATGTATACACTTAATTTCTCTACAATGCAAGGTTGTTGTTATTGTTATCACTTGAAGCAACAATGAATAACCCCTTTGAAAGATCGCCATACAATAACCATTAACATTTTAGTGTGGAGTGGCAGTTTTGTGTATTGTTCTGGGGATTCACTTGCATCTAACCACTGTTCTACACCCTTACTAATGTTGTCAAAAATTATCCATTTCTAATCGAATGTAATTATTCGATACATTTTTCCCAGTTTGTACACATAGAATAAGATTGCTTGACATTGTTTCATTGTAATCATTTTCATTGTGTTTAGGTGTAACAATATACTGGAAGAAAATTATTTGGAAAGAAAAGTCAGGAATAAGTCAATATTTGATTATAGATTAAAGAGGTTACTTCGTTAGACGACCGGATCAATAACCAACCAAAAAAATGCGTCATTTCATGTGGGATAACCTAACACTGCAGACACGTTTCTACATCCTATTCTTCCAAATCGTTAGAATTAATTTTATCAAAACTATTTATGAAAATATTACGGAATATTAAAATGAAAATAGTGAAAGAGAGGATAATGGTCCAGATGATAAATTGAATAGTGAAAGTAGATCACCAGAGAAATTTAGTGAAAAGTTGAAAAGCATTCCAGACGCCAAAGAAAGATGTGCACCAATTTAATCTGTGTCGATAGTAAGGCTTATCAATTCGACAAGGTCAAAATGGCAACCGATGTTCAAAATGACCTCAAGTCCGTCGTTAACTTATCTACTGTCCAGCTGATAACCTTCTTCTCTATCTGTTCATCATTAATGTTTCTGTTCCACACCGTGTAAGCCCTTGTGTTTTCCTGGCATTAATTCCTTGCTTAGGGTGATAACGATTATATATATAACGATTATATATATACATATACATATATATATATATATATATATATATATATATATATATAGAGAGAGAGAGAGAGAGAGAGAGAGAGATGTGTATGATAAAAGTCGTCATAAATATAGACCCATATACTTGCACGTACATATGTTTCTTATAAAGGCGTTATATAAATACAAATATTAATATCGTGAGTACTACGGTTATTCCATAACGCATTACTTTAAATGTTATAACAACTGTATTTTCTGCAAAAGGAGAGTTATCCCCCTTTATACATAACGTACTTACATCATTTTTTTTTCATTAATATTATTTTTTATTTTAATTTTTCTTTAATTCTTTTTTCGAACTTAAGAACTGGAATGATGTAATTTATTAATAACTAACTATAATAATAAAATAAACAAGTTTTAACACAAAATTCTAACTCATTACCATGTGAAGGTGAATTTCATTACAGTACGTTTACATTTTGTACCTGAATATTGCACGTTTGGGTAAAAGATTTTACGTAACCCCTGATGAAAAATCAGAATACACGTATATGATAATTCTTATAACTTGACAATAAACCCTAAATACAATCTCCTAGTGCATAAAAGTTATAATTAGATTAAATTAGAAATTAGCTTAATTAATTAAGTCTTAATTTTATAGTAAAATTAAAAATTACAAATGTCGAATTCTAAATTCAACTGAGCATCAAGTTTAAAATATTACAAAATTATTCAGAAATTAAATGTATATATATATATATATATATATATATATATATATATATATATATATATATATATATATATATCAATTCTTCTGAGCGAAGGACCAATTTGTCAGTTAAATTCGACGCTGAAGTAAGATGCATGAAAGTCTGAATTGAAATAAGAAGATCGAGAGTGGAAGGGTTTTTACAAATGACAAGACAAAAACATTCACATTCTAATGCACAAACAGATATATATATATATATAATAAAATATATAAGCACGTAAATATAATGACGACACAGGAAATAGAAGAAGGAAACTTTCAAGAAAGGAAAATGAAAGATTAAAAAGAAAAAGAATAAAGACATAAAATCATATAAAAACTACGTCAACAAAAAATTATATCAGACTCATGTATGTACAGGTAAAAGCATATGCAGGTAATAACATTGCGTACAAATAGATAAATAAACTGACACATCATTTAAGCACAAATATACTAAAAAGACAACACAAGCCAACTAACAAAAGAAACACACGAACAAATGGCTGTATCAAATAAAGGTAAGAAGAGTAAAAACTAGTATATGTACGAGGCATACATATACTTAGTTGAAATACGCATCTGTCTCTATTTCTGAGATGAGTTATTATGTACATTATTTACATTATTAGGACTATTGTTCTCATCTTTGTCGCTATATATATTACAACATTTCGGCCGTTGTACGCTCCGGCCTTCTTCAGTTGGTTGGAATGTAGAACTGAAGCCTGTATTTAGAAATAAATACAATATGGGAACCAGTAATAAGGAGTGCCAGAGAAAAGCGATAATAACAACAAAGTTGCAATATGAGCTCTGGTAAAACATGATTTCATAACAGCAAAAATTGCAATATGAGCACTGGTAAAAATGGTTGTTGAAGACATTAGGTTTATAATACCCAGAAATTCATACACAGATGTCCTCAAGGCACAGTGGATAAAGGCGTTGGTTAGATCCAGTGACAGCGTGTGAGTTCAATACCCGGTTAAGAAGTTGGAGAACTGATAACTGGCATCCATTAAACATGGCACGTGGAACTAGAACACTCTACCCCAGTGAGCGAAATAAAGGGTTCAGTTCGACATTCCAACCACCTGAAGAAGCCGAATCGTTGTAATAAATATGGCGACAAAGATGAAGACAATAGTCCGAATAATGTAAATAATGACGCATATTGTTATAAGCAAAGAAAAACACACATAGAGACATACATGCGCATACATATGAAAAAAAGCCGAACAAAATACGTACATATAAAAAAAATCAGCATATATTCAAAAATAAAAACATACACGTATCCACTTATACACAAATATATTATATATACACAAAAAACACACACACACACATATATATATATATGTATATATATGTGTGTGTATATATATATATATATATATATATATATATATATATATATATGTGTGTGTGTGTGTGTGTGTGTATATATATCGTTAATGATAACCTACTCTTATTTGCTACCGATTTAATTTGTTAGCGATTTATGTGTGTCTGTGTGTGTATGTATATAAGGTAATAAATTGTGTGTGTGTGTATACAAGAGTATAAATTGAACAACTAAGAAATAATAATAATAATAATACAATCTTACATTTTACTACTCATATTGCTAATTAAAACGTGAACTATGCCTACAATTAACAGTGCGTTCATTCCTTTGATTTAAGATTTTATCCAGGCTAATCTAATAATTTCCAATTCTTCATTGAGACAAAGATAGCAAAGTATTGGAAAATACAGGTTTCAGGCCCTCCTAATTATTTTCCATTTAACAGTAGGAGTTTGTTTTTCTCTTTTAAATTCCAAAATACTTGGACAACAAAGTACTATGTTTATAAGTACTATTTTTGAAGAATAGCACATGAATATGCTATGAAAAATTATTAAAATAATCAAAAGTGTAATTTGAATGCTGATAAGTTATTCTATTTACTAAAAATATAATGAAAATAAAATAAAATTTAGGAAAGAATAATATTAAAATTATCTTTTATCTTTAATGGAGTTCCAGAGAAAAGCCCAGTACCAGCATAATAAGTGCCAAATATATGCCAAACTTATATTAGGGCATACATCGAGATTCGTTTTCGTATATGCTCGAGAAACAATTCTTCACCTTCATGCCATCATCATCAATATCATCATTATTACCACTATCGGAATTAGGATCATCATTAACATTATCACTCTCATTTTCATCACATCATCTTCTTATATTTCTTAATCATCATTATCATCATCGTACTTTTCATTCTCATCATCATCATCTTAATCATTATCATCATTATCAAATCATTTTATTATTATTAATCATCATCATCTCCTTCCTCCTCCTCTTTATCATGAACATCATCCTTATCATTTTCTTCCTTTTCTTCTTGCACTTCTTCATGTGAGGCCATCTGCTTTCTGCCAATATCTTCCATTCAAAAAAGAAATAATCTTCATGAATATTTTTTCCTGCCAATTTTGTCCCATATAAAAATAAAACTTTTAAAATCATTGATATTTCTGAATATATTTTCGGTGCATGAAAAAATGACCATTTTTGTCGTTTAAAAAAATGATAAATTTTAAAATGCAATAATATGAGAATTGTTCTTTTGCCGACGTATCAATTTTAAGTCCTTCTCTCAATATGGCGAATTGTAGAAAGTTGTGTATGCAAATTGCATATATTTCTAAATAAACCATTTCGATTAGTTTAACACCTATTCTAGCTTCCAAGCACACACACAGTTAATTTCTTGACGTTCTTGAATTTAAGTGTTGTACTTGATTGGCAGAAAGGTCTCATTATTTTATCGTTGAAATTATGACCTTTAAACGTAAGTTCGATTTTAATAGTTTCTCCTCTTGCACTTCTCGCCTATGGAATACACTTCCGGTTTCATGCTTTCCTGTAAACTGCGATCATGTAAAATTTAAATGCACCGTTAATCGCTATTTTCTCTCTCCTTGAATCATGTATTTCTATTTTTTTTCCCACTAAAATTTTCTCATCTTCTTTCACTCAGTAATATCGTGCGTCTTAGTGGCATTATCGTAATTCTCAGGGTGTAATGAAACTGTAAAGTAAATATTTTGAGCGAAAATTGAAAATTATAACACTGTAATGACAACAAAATTATGAGGACATTAAATGAAAATATATATCGTCTT